TGGATGCTAAAATACGTCATTAAATGAGGTTTAGAGCGGATTTTGTATTACTGTGCCTTGATCCGTGCCATTACACAGTCATATGAAATCCGCTYTAGCAGGTTATGGAGATGTTTTCCCAACTTATTACATGTATTTAATTCCATAGGAAGAGAACAATAAAATAGTGTTTAAATTCAATTACTCACGGCTTTAACAAAAAATGTTCATAAAATATAATTCATGACTGACAGTGCTTTTTCTTTGCCTTTTCTTTTATCAACAATTACCACACATGAATTTGMCAAAGTTATTTGAAATTGATACATTCTTTGACGTGGCTTCTAAAAGTTTAKTATGCAAAAAGTCCTTTTTGTAGTCCCCAGTACCATCCTGAGAGGAACCCATGGCTTTGCATCAAATCAGCATGGCAATGATATATATAATGGCATAACCAWCTGGTTTTGTACTTCAGATATTTGAGTAAAACTTCAATGCAAAGATATGGCTGCCTTTCAAGATGGCTTTTCTACTGCTTTTAAAAAAGCATACAGCAAATACTTATAGTTACCAATGCTATATGACTATTGTTCCAWGTATTGTTATCCACTAATGTTGTTCTATTAGCCATTCCTGCTATCTGATAACCATAATCCCACCATGACATTACCCTGTTAATAAAAAAMCCTACAGTTAACTTAGTTTCTGGTAAATGGATTTGTGATTTACAAGGATGAACCAGTATGCTTGCCAAGTAATGTTGAAAACTGGTTGACATACAATGGTTTATTTGTTTGCAAGATACATGTAAATAAAACATAATAAATCAGACTTCAAAATTACATTTTGTTTATTGGATAAATTATAAACACAGCCTAATCTCATTAGGTTGTTTTGGTTGTTTCTGCTTCTGTGTTTTGTTTTGTTTTGTTGTTTTTCCCCCCTGCTGTTTGCATAATTGTATAAATATGACTTTTGTTTAAAAACATTAAAATACAACTTCACAACCTCCTTTACCTTGCATCATCAGCAGTGTTCTGCCTCAACCAGAAATAAGCCTCTCTAAAATCATCTAAAATGCTGCGACTCCTGAACAATTAAAGCAAACGAAATGTCATGGACAGAATTTTTTGAAACCACATGTACATAAAAACATTAAAAGGTTTTCCAAACAAAAGTGTTCAAAAGAGAGGCGACAAAAATCTATTCAGGTAATGCTGATACCACAGAATTTCTTCAATATTATTACAGTAGATCAAGAGTTGACATACTTAATCCATGAAACAAATAGCCACTGTAATTACTACTAAATAGTATTGATTAGAAAATAGGAAACAAGCTAGTATTAGTTAGTACTACATGTATTTCAGTTTCATTGATTAAACTTGTGTGTTGGCTCAATGAATGGAATAACTTACAATAATCCTACTTACCCATCATAGTTGGTAGATGCCAGGACAACAGAAGGACTAGAATAAGCATTGCTTGTAACCCARGTACAGTGGACGGCAAACATCATTAGCATCATTACAACGCACATGACAACAATTCCCTTTAGATTACTACCAATACCACTGCCGTCATCTTCTTCTTCAATGGAYTCCTTTCTTTTGCTTGCTTTTTGCTTTTTGCCAGGCTAAAAAAACATTTTGCATAAACTCAAAAGGAAAAAAAAACTACTAAAGAAATATGATATTTTGATTTATGAATCACAAGTGATATCAAAGTATTTTACAGAATGAAGAAATTCAATGTGCAAACATCTTTAAAGTTTAGAGCAAAATTGTTATCTAAAACTCACTTTATCRTAAAGTTCTTTTTTGTTTTTGCGCTCTTGCTCTTCAGTTGGTCCTTGTCTTTCTTTCTCTTCTTCTTCACTCTTTGTAGGAGGTTTGTCATCAACCAAATAGTTATCAAGAGTCACGGAGAATGCAATGGCAGAAAGAATGCACACAACGGGGGTCAATGTGAGCATCAARCGGACCATGACGCCAGCAAAATAAACTGCAGTCACAGCATACAGCACAACTATGAAAGAGAGGTTAACAAAGCAAGCATTTTATTTTAATGCATCAGATATAACCAAAAGTAAAATACCTTCTTTAAATTTCTAACCACTCAAAAATTAAAAAGTAGGTATATCAACATTTCAAATTTTATTTTCTTCTTGTTTTAAAAAAGTATTTTGATTTACATCTACATGTACACTGTACTTCTGTAACTTAACAAAAACAGAAACGAAAACAAAAAGGAAAAAAAAAAAACAGTTTTGGGGGCAGATGTGTAAAAAGATATCTTTTTACACAACTGTTTCTTTAGAAACACCGACGCAGCTCACACTAGTTTGCCACTAGTTCCCATCAGTTTTTGGGGAATGACCTGTTTAATCTGAAGATTGAGTGCCATTCACTTACCAAAAACCCTTTCATTGTTGATGTTCTTGATGACAAACCAAAGWCCAGCAGGAAATGTGCAGGTGAGAATGTGAAGATCAAAGAAGAAAGAAACCCAGGTGGTCGGCTGATGCTCAGATACTGATGCAATGATGGGAATGTGAATCTTYGCATAGCTAGCAAAGACATTAAATAAATGAGTTACTAGCTAAAATTACCCTTTAAGAAAACAGATAACAGTTTTACACTAAAATACTACAGATTTAKAAATTTAGTGAGTTCAGAGGTTTTAGTAGAAATGGTAAATATCTAGTTACTGCTGTTTTTCAATTCAAAAGACCATCAGCTATTTCAGTGGAATGAGGCAGACAATGAGAATTCCTTTCTCAGTGAACTAACATGCCAGCCATGACTTCAACTCCAAACCAGCAATTCTTGCAATAAATATACATAATGGCCACTAACATACATTTTTAAAATTTCGAATTTTAGTAAAGGTAAACTGACAGCTGATAGGAACCTGTGCTAACAATAAAATATAAAGGTTTGAAATGAAAATATTAAATTCTGGTGAAGTTATAAGGATTTAAAATATATCATAACACCAGAACGAGGCTATAAAGACCTTGGCTGAAAATTACATACATTTCTTTGTATTTTCATTTCGCCAGAAATTTGTTCGCATTTTATCCAGGACTGTAAAACTTTCCAAACATGTTTATTTCTGGTAGTTTATTCACATGACAGTGACAAAGTTTTCACATATTTCATATTCAGAAACAAATAGACAGACAGCCATTGGTGGAAAATTACATACTGTACATTTCTTTGTATTTTCATTTCACCGTAACTTTTTTCCTATTTTGTCAAGAGTTCTAAAACGTTCCAAAAACGTCTATTGATATAAAAATCTATTGATAAAAATATTGATATCTATCTTATTTTGGGAAAACACAAATGCAGCCATTATGGTAAAGGTGTATACTACATGTTATTTGCCCTAATGAGTGTCTTACCCAGTATCATACAGTGAGTAGAATCGACCACTCCATGGAGCAATAATACCTATAATTAGAGAGTAAAATGACTAAAGTCAACAACACATGCACTGTATGAAGGTATTTAGCAATAAATGTATCATTAATAGTGGTTTAACTCGAGAAACTTCAATCAAAGTATTATGTATCAGAGTTCAACAGGACTTACCCAAGTAAGTGAGTCCAACAACRGCCAAAAAGACAATACCAGCACAACCAATGGCAACAAAAACAATGAGGTTTTTAATGTCTGACCATGAATATTTGTCTTTGACATACATTAGGAAGGCATAAGCTTGTAATAGAGCAAACGTTCCTAGTACAAAAAGTGTACAAATATGTAAGAATCACAACAACATTCACATTCATTGATTAAAGAGCCAAATAYAGTAAATTACATTGTACCTGCTGCYGCCATGTGTTCACTTGTCCTGATTGGCTGAAAGCCAACAAAAGGCACTTGCATAGAGAGAATGAGACCAACAATATAAAATGTAGAGTATGCTGAAGGTAAAAAAAAACAAATATGATTTTAACACAAACATGGTGGAAGAGAATCACYAATTAATTGAATGTCTAATATTAACCCTTTCACTATATGACTTGTTTTTTCTTTCTTTTTTTCCTTCATCTTATTTTTTTAGTGACCTCTCAACAGGCTCTCTCAACAGGCTGCAAGTAAGGGAAGGGGTAAAAGGCCATGGTCCACCAGCATTCAATGTGGTAATGTTTAAGATTTTTCAAAACACATCTTCAATATCTCCATTCATAGACCATATGAAAAAGGGAGTGGCTATCATAACGCCTGAGTTTACAAGTTGTATATTAATATATCATTACTATCCATTGAAAGAACATGTTATAATGAGTGAGATCTGAAAGTTTCAATGCTTTTACATTTAAGTACCATAAATTACAGGTGTTTGAAATTGCAAAGGTTTGAGTGAAAATCAGTATTGAGGCCTTAACAGCCTCGTTTTCATGTTTTTGGTACATTTTAAGTCCACCTAGCTCTGCCAAAATATTACCACTTGAATTAAAAATATGTCAATTCACTAGTTTAAATATACTCTTTCTTATCATAAAAGCAGAGTTTTAAAAACATGGACCGTTTAAGGTGCTCATTCCCAGTCCTCTGCTCGTTTTTTATATGGTTAATATAGTGATAGTAAAGTCATGGTAGCTTTTTGATTATTTATTACAATATTTTCAAACAGATGTTTTATAGTTGGCCATCCCTTAGCAACATAAGGTTATGGTTGTATGAAGGACAAAGTTATCACTTCATAAATTTTACATAGTAAATGTCTTTTTTACAGTCTTATTGTAACTGCTTTTTAATGAAGAAAAGGTCTTTTAATATGTCATTTTAAACCACAATAATGTATTTGTTCATCCACCTGTTTTATTGTTGACATTATAGCTGACTGGAATCATTGAGACATCAATTATTATTTTGATTAAGATAAATTTGCATGATAATTGAACTTCCACAAGAAACACAGCCATTTATTTCCAAACCCAGATTCACTAATTTCCCACTAGAATATCAATGACTGTAGAATATAAAAAAAACACTGATCTTAAAAAAAACTCTCACAAAACTAATTTAAGTCACGTAGACATTTTAAAATTTTTGAAGAAATGAAAACATGAGTTGTGATTTGAATATGCCCATCAGATTGGGTAGGAATGAAAAAACTTATTGTTCCACATTGAATGTGCATCAAGAAAGTTTATGTACTGACTGATTTTATTGAATTGGGCAATGATTAAAACTGTGATCTTTTTGTGTTATTGGTGTTTTACATGTAGATAAAGCTGAATACAAGTCAGTAGTTTCTGGCAGGTGTAAGAGAATGGCACATGCAAAATACTCAGTTTGATGAAGAAGACCAAATTGTTGAAACGTTTATTATAAAGCTACAAGTTGGAGTTTTGTCATGCTTTGTTTAATTAAAAGTGTCTTTGATATACAAATGTTTCTCTTTTGTGTGTATGTAGATGCTAATGGAAAATACTAGCTAGAGTTTTATGGTATACATGCAGTGCAAGTGACCAAATTATTATACAATCATTTGTCTAGTGGGTCAGCCATAATATCTACATGTCATTAAGAATCAGCAATATCATGTTCGATCATTATCAGGTATAATTTAAGCCAAGGATCAGGATAACACTGTTTTGATYCAGATCACCATAATAGAAAGGGATTACTTGCTTGAGAGCAGGGATCAAAAATGTTCATGTACAATCTTGGAATACAAAGATGTAAAATGAAACTAGCAAAAGCTATGTTAGTTCTAAAACCACAAAGCATGGCACAGATGTTTGATGATTTTAAGGAAAGTTTTGCAAAACAATGAACTGTGTCTGTTTTAGCTGGAGCAAAACTTAAAAGCATCTAATGGCCAAGAAATGTGAGAAAAGTTGCAAAACATTTAAATCAGATATGCACGGCTATCCAAGTCTGTTGTGAATATCTAATGAGAGAATAGCACCTCAATTTCTTGAGATTCTGTCTATCAGATGCACCATATGTAGGACTAATCCAAGTCTGTTGGCAATGTTTAATGAGAGAAAAGCACCTGAATTTCATACACTGTAGCTGATAGCTGTTCCATAAATATGAAGTTTCACTTCTTGTTCCTTTATACAAAATGTCTTACTGTCTACCTAATACAACTTGTTGCATAAAGTCTGTTGAACAACAGACGTCCCTTTCTTTTATAAAACCACACTTTACTTGTTTTGATAATATCAAATTTGTAATATTTAATAGAAATGGTTCAATATTACAGACTGAGGAATAACTCACCAACATAAATTCTTTGTGTAAACCTTCCCATCAATAAGAGAAAGAAGATATGAAGAGGAATCAGGTTGATAATAAACACATATCCACCCCACGCTGACACCTATATAAAGAAAAAAAAACAATGATTTTATGAAATGAGACTGAACAAAAATGAGCATTTTGTATCTCAGTTTATACAGTCTTGTGTACATGTATATTGACTTGGATATAAACATTGACAATTTCTTATCACGTATGACATTTCTCACACTATTCGTCTATAAAAACCTTCCTCATGCCCCCCTTCCCCTCAATACAGTGTTGTGTGCCTTTCTTTCCATTTGCTGTCCATTTATTATCTCGTGCTTACGACATTAATGGAGGGAGGGGGAATATTTTCAGTAATGCAYGAGGTACAGGATTATTAATTTTATAATTCAAAGTTATAATTTACCATATAAAAGTAAGATAAACTAGTACAAATGGCCCAAAACACTGATCCAGTTTTTACAGATTTCACCTGAAAAATAGAAGAAAACAACAGCATGTTAATCAAGAGGATCCTAATTTCAAGTCGCTATCAAAGCAGGTCATGCTCAATTTTCTCTTTAACACAAAACAATGCTTACAACCCTTGACGTTTTAACTTTTCAATGATATTCATAAAATAATTATTTGTAAAATCTAGCATTATTCTACTTACCCACAAGTAGTATGTAAACTGCAGAGCAAAGATAGCAATACCTTCATTGTCATAAGARCCAGCAACAGAACGAGATATATATCCAGGAACTAAGACAACAAATAGAATAACTCTTATTTTATCGAAACATCAATAAGGCAAAGTACACACACAGTATGTAGTTTTCTCCACACCCATCAGGGATGTTTAGGATTTAAGATATATTTTAATATACATAATGTCAGAATCCCTGTTAAATTAATACATTGTCAAATAAAAACTATATCAGACGAAAGTTTTAATAATAAGTGCTTTAAGCAGCCGGATAAAGATATAAAAAAACCTATTTGTCAATAATTGAGATTACTAATACCAATTAAAATTGAGTCCTATAAGCAATATATGGGTGTATTGTTCATTTATCATTCAAGTTGAAGTAATGGAAATATCAATTGACGTACAAATAGTTAGATATACTGGGATCAAAAAAAGAAAAAAAAGGTGCGATGACAACCACACCAATGTTGTGATATATCTAAATAATAACAGTTAACATACCAATTGCAATAAAGCAGGCAGCAAGCAACCCAGCTCGGTCATTCCATAGCTCTTTGGTCAAAAGGTAGGTAGCAATAGCWGTCAATCCACTAAGATCACAMATATTACAACACRTTTAAGAGAAGATTGTTTCCTATTGATTCACAAAACTGATTGCCATTTTTATACCTGAAAATTGGTGCTAAAAACACACAGACRTCACGGATGTGAACAGTGACATTCAGAGTGTTTAGAACRGAATGGATTCCTGCAGATGTTACCATCAAACCAGGATAAACCTGATTTAAAATAAAAACAAATCAACTAATCATACTACAATAACTGAATTCTTAAATATGTAATGATGGTCTATAATCTACACCGATTTCAGAAAAAATTACACTCTTGAAATATATATATAAATGTTGCAGTGGTTTTTCCTTGCAAATCACCTTTCTAAAAGGCGTTTTTTTGATWGGAAACACAGCAAAACCTTTATTAAATATGCACAAACATGATTTCAGCAAATTGGGCYCTAATTTTACGGTAAATATCAACAAATCATATGTATGTATATTTAATTAAAAAGTGTCATTTTTATGAATTCGGTGTAAATGCTATTAATAATGTATTTTAGTGTCTACGCCAAATTACGGGCTATCACAAATCCAGCATATCCATGATAGACCATGGTTGCACCAAATGAGAAGTAAAAATGTTGAGAAAAATTGTTCTTTATGGTCTTTTTTATGACCTGACGGCTTAACAACTCATAGTCCATTCAACCTCAAAGTTCATGTGGGGATTACAGTTCTAACAAGGGGATAAAACATTAGATTTTACTTCTCAAAAAAAAGCAAAACTTTTGTCTTTTTTTAAATAGATGAAACAGCTTTGACATCACATTTTGTTCAAGAGGTCCACATTGGACCACAATTTTAGGAAAGTTGATAACATTAATTCTATGTAGAGAACAAGTTTTAAAACTAAAAAAAATAGATATGTTTAAGGTGGGAGATATGACACACTTACTGTTCCTCCAACAATACGCCCAAGTGGATACCAGGCCCTCTCATCAAACCAGTTTAAGAAATTATAAAAACCATTATTAGCAAGATGATGGGTTGCCCGATAGTTAAACCTGTAAAAAGATAAAAATGTGTTTGATGTTCAAATTTCACCGATATCAAGATCCAAACAAACTCTATGGTCGATGTGTTTTTGACAAGTAATAATAATTATTTACAAGAATTTGATGTTTATATTTTGAATAACAATCACAAAATAATCTACAATTGTAGGTTCACTATTGCAATATTCAAAATGCATTTCATTTAAGACAAATAGAATAATCTATCTTTAGGATTAGAAATTAGAAATTGATCATGGAGATATTTTACTATGAATATGAGAGGCATATGTATTTTTATTTAAACAAATATATACATTTTCAACTGTGTGCTAATTGGCCAAAGTGAAAATAACAAATATACATCAACAAAAAATAAATAAAACAACTTAAACTTTATGGACAATTCAGTTCCATAAATGCTCTTTTTGTAATTTCTTTAGCTTCTGTTTCGTTTTCTTGTAAGCTTTCTGTTTCCTTTTATTAAAATCATTTTTTTTATTGCTAAGTTACAGCTCACATGTTCCTTGGCAAGTCTCCATCGGTAGAAAAGTTCCCGGACTTATAGTTAAGATGCAAGATTAATATAAACAAATTTTTCAAAGCGTTTGAATGAAATTGTCCATCCAAGAGTTTTGCATCAATTTTCTCAGGAAAAACAGGTGAATCTTTCACAGCTGTCTAATGTACGTTAACTAGAGACAGTAAGACGTAGTCTATCTCGCAGATATCTTTATCGCCAATATACTTTTTTCAAATTTTGCTTAATAGTTGTTGTCTTTTTTAATAAAACTAACAAACACAGCTTTGCTAGTTAGGTCGCGCAAAATAAGCTAAATGTCTGTGCAAAGTGTATTAAGTTATAAAATTACATATCCTCAAAATGTTAAACAGCAAACACAGGAATGAATTTGTGGCACACACAAAATTTGGATTGAAAAGCTCAGTTGCTGATCTTTTAATATATCGAAGAATTCAAAAMTAAGTCAAAATATTAGACAAAGACTACTGCATAAACTAAGAGGACATCAATCTTCATAATCGAACCATCAGCCATGAACTTCGTGCAGCTTTTATATGTAGATCAATGAACAACAATACCAGACTTAGCTATAACAAAACCTCTACTTCAAGACAAACAATGACTATCCCAATCGTTGTAGGTATAATCTACGGGAAATTAAGTAAATGAGTTTCAAAAGTAATAGAAAAAGAATTTTACCATGGGTCGAACTCGTGGATGATACTTTCAAACCGAATGACTGCGAATAAGCGGCTTGCAAAACCACCCAACCACGCCAAGAAAAGTACAGTAAACGTGAGCAAAGATTGCCAGCCTATAGTTTGAGATTTGACATCATTTTCCTCTTCCTTCGCCGGCTCTTTGTCATGTTTCTGTGATAGTACAACCTCCATCTTGGAGCGTCAGCCACGTTGTGTGACAGACAGCCAATCGCTGGACACCAGCTAGTCTTAGGCTTTAGTCTCTCGCTACATTTACACCAACAGGTAGCCCGGTACATATAAATAAATTAAAACCATCATTTTTTTGATCCATTCAGATCTACATTGGAATATCCATTGGAATATTAAAAAAGAGGATTCCAAGTTATAGAAACTGTTCGTTTAAAAAATCATTAAAAGTTTTAAAACAAGTAAATGTTTACTATTTTTGATATATATTTTAATTTTTTTGCTAGTTTTGCTCCCGTACTTGTTATAATAGGTCTACAGAAACTGTATTTTCTGTTTACTAGTAATGTTTCCATGCTTTCCTGTTTATCTGCATCAAAGTGTGAGCCCGCGGGAGCTTCTTGTTACATGATCGAACTGATGCGCATGCTCTAAGTAATTTCCAAGATGGCGGATGACAAATGCTGAAAGAAGACAAAGCGATCAGTTCTTGATTTTATTTTAATACCAAAGAAGTCTCGAAGCGAAACTAAATAATCAKTGCGAGTTAATACATTAATTTTAGGATAAAAATACGGCCAATCGATATGTCTTTACCAGGMTACGGCGTCCAGAGACCATTTAGTGCTAGTAGTATGGGAGTTCGACAATTTGGTGCAACAATGTCTCCATCTTATCAAACGAACCCACAGATGCAAGCTATGGCTCAAGGTATTAGATTTTGTATAGGAATAATTTCAGTTCTTACAATAAACGGTACTTATTTCTAATACATGTTTTCGCATACATATTTATTTAAATACTTAAACGTTTATATTGTTTTTGATAACATTGTAGCTGCGAGATTCAGGCCACCGTTTCACCCCTCTCCACAAGTTATGAATCAGGTCAGTTGCTTTTCATACTTTTACATCGATCAGCTGCAAAACTTCATTTGATATTGTGTTGTACTCTTTCTGTTGTGGGCTTCCTGTGCTGGTCAAGTCTTACCTCAAGTTTAAATCTTTAAGAGATGATTGAATTAACTTTTAACATCCCAAATGCATTGTGATAAGGCACTATTTGTACTGTATTAATACAATGTGTCTATATCTTAGGGGGGAGGACAGTGGTCAAGTGGTGGTCAAATGAATGCACCTTCATATGGACAACAGAGAATTCCTCAAAGATTTTTGACACAGGTAATAAAGTCTTGTGTTATGTTGAATTAAACACTGTAAGTGGCATTGATTATTGCATTCATGTGATTGTTTTTTAGGCTGCTGACATCAGAGTTCCTAAGCCACCTAAACCTCCAGAAAAACCATTAATGCCATAYATGAGATATAGTAGAAAGGTATGCTATAGGGATGTACACAACTTGCATGTGATGATAAAGCAGCTTCATCTTCAATTCATATAACTTGATATCCTAAGACCATTTAGTGTAAAGTTCCTCTATTGCGAACTCTCTTTTCAAACACCCTTCCCCAGGTCAATGCATGTCAATGTTATCTGATTCAATACAAATAATATTAAGGGTGGTTAATCTTAAAAGAACAACTCCAGCACTTAAGAAGAAAAGGAAGTTTTATTGATATACAGGGTATTTTTTTTTAAAAAGAGCTGCTATTGAAGTTGATAACCAACAAAAATGCAACCAAGGTGTCAAGGTTATTGACATGGATTTTTGGGAAAGAAAAAGAAAACCTTGTTCTCTTGTGACTGAGAATTCTTTGTGATTTTCCTCCAGATTCATTGTATTCACAAAAACATCAAGGGCTGTATTTATTTGTTTTGGTCTGATTTTAGAGTTACATGTAAATGAGTAAGTTGTACCTGTGGTACTTGTACATATATAATCCACTGACTTTCAAAATTGTGAATATAGGTCTGGGACCAAGTGAAAAACCAGAACCCAGACCTGAAGCTATGGGAGATTGGTAAAATCATTGGTCAGATGTGGAGAGATCTAGTGGATGAGGAAAAACAAGTGAGTCCCCTTACTTGTACTTTATTGTAAATCAGGCCTGTAGGCTGGAGGGGTTCGGGGAGTTCAGAGGAACACTCCTCCCCCCAACCCCACAAGCTTAAAATGTCGGGTGTTTCTCTTTTTTTATTGTTCTATTTTGAAATTCGTTTTTTATGAACTGTTTCATTTTTTGAGATTTTTGTTTTTTTATATTTTGTTATGAACTGCTCATTCTAGCAGCCAGTTCTTACACATTATACCTGTTCATTGAACTAGTTTAGTTAAACAATTAATTTACTGTAGGTCCGCATTACAAACAAACGAATCGCCCTATTTGTAAGGCATCCTATAGGCCTGTAAAAATCATTTGCCATGAGGCAGCACTAGTAACTTAGTTTAGTTAAACAATTAATTTAGGTCCGCATTACAAACAAACGAACCACCCTATTTGTAAGGCATCCTACAGGCCTGTAATTATCATTTGCCATGAAGCAGCACTAGTAACTTGTATGTTTGAATAATTTACATATTAAGTGATAAATTATTCCCAAAAAGACCAAAAAATTTCATTGGATATGACTATTCACATGATTTCATGGAATATCTATCCATCCTTCTGTACATGTGTACTAGTGAAAGTTTTTTTTTCTGTTTTGTTTTTAGGAATATGTAGAAGAGTATGAAATTGAAAAGGTAATTTAAAAAATATTTTTTGATGTTTTTAGCAACTTTTAACAATGTACGGTACATTGTGTAAAATAATCTTTCTTCACYATTGCTTTTTTGTTTGATTTGTTTACCACAGCAAGAATACAATGAGTCCATGAAGTCATATCACAATTCTCCATCATATCAAGAATGGATTGCAGCCAAAGGAAGAGGTAAAGTTGTGTGAATGCTTTGGTTTATCCTGTAAAACTCTTTATTCTTGATATTTGTATGGTATTACTTTAAGCCCAAGCAGCTATCCAAGCACAGCAGTCCATGGAAAGGGCTATGATAAACTCATTTGGGGTAAGTAAGAAATATTATTTAAACAAAATAGCGAAACATAAAAAAATGATGCATAAGCTATTAATAGCAAACACTGGAACCCTGCCTTATTGCTTAATAGACCCCTTGAATCATTCGTGGGAATGCAATTCCAGCTGGAGGACAAATGAATAGATTCTAGTTCCCAAGAGGGCAAAAGTCTTTTGTTTTGTCATCCAGATGAAGCTGCTTTGACGTCACTGCAAGGGGTCTATACAGCCGACTGGATTTTCTGCTTTGCTGAATTAATCCCTTTAAGTACTCTTCTGTCCTCTTAAAATGGCCACCCCATTAATATGATCACTTTTCAATGTCTCTTTGGTGGCTGGAACAGCATTGTATTGTATTCATTTCTTGTCTAGAGTGCAAATAACATACAGTGAAGTAGTTAGTACTAGAGCGGATTTCGTATGAGTGGGAATCTGTATGGTACGGTACTGTATGGTGACCCTAATCGTACTGTAACCAAATTCTAGTGCCCCATTGATTCACAAAAATTGTGCAGGCCAGGTCCGGTAACTGTGCGGTAACCGTGCGGTAACAGTGTCCCACTCATACGAAATCCGCTCTAATTGCCACTAAATGTTGACAAAGGGAAACAAAGAAATTTCCATGATTTAGCACTATTTTTTTTATATAGATATCCAAGCTATACCATTTGCACTCTAATGATATCTTTTTTTAAGATTGTAACATTGATTGAAATTTCTAAACAGAAAATTGATGAGCCAAGATTTAGTCTTCAATCTGTAGAGGAAGATGATGGTGAGTTGACCTAAAAACTGATMAAATTTATACCTAATAGATATTAGTATGCAAACAATAAAACTCTTGCTGTATTTTATTCACTCAAACTTTTTTCGGTCTTTCCAGATGATGATGATAGCTTTTCCATTAAGCATGTTGCTGCTGCAAGGTTTCAGCGTAACCACAAGCTTATGGCAGAAGTATTCAGTGAAGCTGTTGTACCTGATGTGAGAACTGGTCAGTGGTTATCAATTCACCTACCTTTTTGTGATTGGTAACTAAAATTGGTTTAGATCAACCAATCACTGTTTACTGTCAGGATGCAACAATTTCCCATGCTGCACTCTGTTGTCAGGCAATACATTGAAAAATTAAGGGATATTGAATACTGTAAAATATAGAAAACGTACTGACGCTGAGGACGTTGTTCTGTTGTTTTTTATTTTGATGAATGGCATATTTTTCTAAAGTTTGGTTTTCACTAACAATGCAAAGAYAAGCGCTGAAGCTGACGCACTAGTTGCACTTGGCGTTGTGTTTCGTTTGCACTATAACGAAATCAGGCGCAAGTACAAGAAAAAAGAAAAACATTTGATATCTTGTACTGGCTCTTGTGCTTCCTTTATCAGTGTGTTGGAAAGTTTCACTACAAAATAAGGTTTCTGTGTTTGGGCTCGCTACTAGTCTTGATCAATGATCATATGCAAATCAAATCTCTCGCTCACACATACAGATTTGGTTTTGTGAATGATTTTCTTTCGTGTTTGCCTTATGAATTATTAATGACTTTTTGTTTGCAGTTGTTACCAAGACTCGTCTTGGAGTACTCAAGCGTCAAGTACAATCTCTCATTACTCACCAGGTAAGTGTTCAACTTTTACAAATGATTTAGCAAAAAGAGACAGAATTACAGATAACTTAAGTACACAGCTTGTAGCCACCCGCTTGATACAGCCATATCGTTATAACAGACAGATTTATATGTCCAGGCGAATTAAGACCTCATACTTAAAACGACCGCTTAAAACGACCACGTTTTGATACCATGCGTTGCCCGGATTAAGGGGTTCCGCTGTTCTGATTTAATTCAATTACACATTCATTAGAAAAAACTGGAATCTGAGCTTCAGCAAATAGAAGAAAAGTTTGAAGGAAAGAAACGCAAGTTTGATGAAGACAGTGAACAGTTCAACGAAGCACTAAAAAAGGTGATTTTCTAATTATTATCTYTAATCAATTTTGATCGTGTWCGGGCCCATATTGAGTGACTATCAAAATGAACGAGTGTACGATTTCTTGCTAACTGATTTTCTTTTAGAAAATGTGCTTTGATTTTGAACTGAGATGGTAAACACTTAAAATCTCAYAAATTGGCTCTTAGGATTAGTCAAAAAATTTTAACTCATCGGCCGTATTTGGTCCGTACATGTACATGGCGCTGCTTGTCATTTGTGAAAAGGATGCACATTATATACAATGTTCCATTTAAAGGTTTTAGTAATCAAGGTCGAAGTCCTTAAGCCTTTCACTACAACGCAATCACAAGCGTAAAACAATGTAAAAACAGTTAACGAGCACAAACGTAAAAATTACATTTGCCCACAAAAACCTTGTCAATGAGTTCCTATTTTTGTTTCATTTTAAGCTATGTGAACCTCCCAATGAAGACGAATGCGAGGCTTCAAGCGAATCTCTTGCATCAACATCAGCAAACAAACCCGAACCRGACAAGAGTGAAAAAGATGAAACCGCTGAAGGAGCGTCCGAGTCCAGTTGAACACCAGTCTTTCCAAGATGTACAGTTAACGATACGTAGACATAGATGTTTTTTGTATAGCGCTATACGTAGATAGTTTTACATCAGATACAACAACATTAGATTAATTTATAATAAATGATATCATCTCGTTAGATTTTTATTGTTTCATTTGTTCGTACAGTACATCTGTATTTACATCACACTTGTCACCATAAACCCGTGAAATACTCTCGGACTTACATACTATTAAACTCATCTTTTGTCCTTTTATGTAATTACACTTTCTACTATAGGCAATGTGCAGCGGCGCCATTTTGTGYTACAAAGCATGATGGGATTTATAATCCTCATTCTTTTTCATGTTTAATAAMATAGTCYTCCTTAGCGGTTTTTCCTTTTTCTTTGCGAAAGTAGACGTAGTTGTGCCTTTTCTACAAATGTAACAAAAAAATCGGCTTTTAGGAAGATTTTTTTAGAGTCTATAWAAAGTTCAAGGACTACAACTCCCATGATGCTTTATTGTTAAAAAGGGCGTCGCTYAACATCGTTTATTGATACAGTTATTTTTAGGGTTTAATGAAAACCAATCACGTCTATCAGGGATTTACCTTTGTCTAAATCCTGCATGTTAGATCGACAATTCATATTATATTGCTCTAGTAGGTATAAATCTTCCTAGTCCTTAATAAAATAAATCTGCAAAACCCGAGAGGGGGACTCCATATGCGACAAAGAAGAGCGATGTTTGTGGTAATTTTGAAGTTGAAACCYGTGTAGAGGCGAACTATATTTTGTTCCACGCTTTATACCCGAGTATTGATTTACTATACATGCATGACACGACCAGAATCAAGTTGAGATCCAAGTCCCAAAATTATCAACAAATATCGTTCTTTTTCCTGTGGTATTGGAGTTTCGCCCCCACCCCAGGTTTTGATTTGATAACTTGTCGTACAATAATCAAACTACGGCTTTCWTCAGGAGCCCATTACTAGTAATGGCTCCTGCTTTCATGTATTGACTGATATCTAATATTCCTGTTTAAAGAATTCACCCTAGCCTCACTCGTACTTAAACATTCCGGTTCTTTTTTCAAAATCGTAGGATGTTCAATTGTTTTATAGGTTCACTATTTGTACATATCGGATAGTATTTGCATTTAGGTGGCTCGTTGGATATAAGTTCAGTAAAGAACATTTTTGTCAGGGTCTGAGTATGATATATGATATGATGTATGACATGACACATGATATGATACGATACGATATGATATAATGTTTGATATGTACGATGCGAAATGATTATGATGTATGACATGACACATGATATGATACGATACGATATGATATAATGTTTGATATGTACGATGCGAAATGATTATGATGTATGACATGACACATGATATGATATGATACGATATGATATAATGTGTGATATGTACGATGCGAAATGATATGATAGGGATATGTCCGGGGGATATGTTATGATACGATATGGATATGATATGATACACCTACTTGCGAAAACGTTGTCATAAAAAATAGGACATTTGTATTTAGTAAAAARAAATAAATTAAAACAAGAMRAAAGAAGRYCACTGAGTCTGAACGCTMTCTTTTGTCTTGTTTTAATTAATTCCTTTTTACTAAATTCAAATGTTCTATTTTCTATGACAMCGTTTCTGCAAGTAGCTGTATGTGATATGTACGACATACGATAGATGGATATGAGATGATATATGTATATGATATGAAGAATTAGGGGAGGTTATTCGATAAATCTTCATAAACTTTAACACGTCRACCCGAACGTTCTCTGAACAATGAATGCAAGGTGAAAACGCCAATGTACCTTCACGTTTTTACAAAATCTGAAAGAGAGGCTATAGAAGCGGGCTAAGGAGTTTCGATATTGATCTATTTTTAATCTCTAACTTCGTTTGGGTTGTTGTTTTGAAAGAGAGAATTATTCTGCCCGCTATGCCTTCCAGGACGAGAGTATTTGGAATGTAAGAAGCTTGAAAAAGCTGCGCTAAGGCGCCTCCCTGAGTCCTCCTGGGAGACTTCCGTTTGAGCTGTCCAAGACGATGATTGCACTGACCAAGTCATGATTTTCTTAAAAGCTCGCCTGAAGTCATTGTTGAAGTAGGCATAAATGAAGGGATTGAGAGCACTGTTAACGTTTGGCAGTACAAAAAAGAACATAGATATCGTGATTTCATTCCACGGGGCAGGTAGCTTGACAAGAAACGAAGGCTTGTATTGTGCGATAGTGAATAGAATGAAAAATGGGCACCAACAGATAGTAAAAGTTCCAATGACCACTGCTAGTGTTTTTGTTGCTTTGAAGTCTTTAATTATGCTGTTATGTCGTCCTTTCTCGACACTGTGTTGCGCCGTCATTTCCACCATTTTGTTGAACTGTTTTAACGCTTCAACGAAGACCTTTGCGTAGTTAATAACGAGAATTACTAATGGCAGAATGAATGCAACAATCATGGCTACTGTATAAAACACTTCGTTAAAGTTAATACAGGAACCTTTGTAGTGAACGATTCCTACGGCACCGGGCCAACGCACTAAAGCAAACGACGCCAGCACACCAGAGTAMACCCAGATACTTCCAACTGCGATGAACGCCCTTGGTTGGGTTAGTACCACATGGTACTGAAAAGGTTTGGTGATTTTAATGTAACGATCAATACTAATCAATGCCAGATTAGCAATGGATGCTGCGGCGCACACCATATCCACCCATACCCAAATATAGCACTCACGAAGCTCAAATACAGTACCTGAAGTTTGCGCAATGCGAAATGGCAAACCAACTAGGCCGTAGAGCAAGTCCGACACGGCAAGACTCGCTACGAACCAGTTAGTAGAACTTCGTAAGCGTCTATCCAGGTATATTGCAAGACATACTAGTGTGTTACCCAAGACAGTCGTGACGAGTAGCACRGCGTAGTAAGCCAAAAATAGCTGCGTCTTAACGGTATTCACAGGTAAATTGTTCGTTGAATTTGTGTTGTTTTCCATCAGTCACGGTAACTTTAATACGCAATCTTGATAAGAGACCAAGTCTTCACATTACACCTGCACCATCTGCCAATGTCGTCGTTCTGGTCGCCTTTCAGTGATCTCTCTCTGTCTTGGGAATACTTAATTTTTAAAGCTCTTCAACCCCCCACGAAGTCTTTTTACCAAAAATGGTRAAGTTGATTTTCCTAAAAAAATGAAATGAGAAAACCTTGAAGAAAAACACATTTGACGATAGAAAAGTATTTCTAGCACGCCCCTCTCTCATTACAGAGCATATATGATACAACTCTCTAAATGTTAGTATACCTACGCTAACACAACAAACAGCCCGAAACTTTTGAGATAAACAGCTTTTTGATGWTGTTCTGTGCCGCCTTGCGCCCCCAATGTACACTAATTAACAAGCTAGTAAATAATGTAATGGCTAAAATCYAATACAAAGTTTGTGGGGTGATCTAGGAAAGCGAAAGACGATATAAAAAAGCTTTCACTGRGAGAACATACGAGCAGATTTCTGCAGAATTTGCTTCTAGGAKCATATCTACCTKAAGCGCTGCTGTGTCTTCCACGTTCATGAAATACTGATTTTTAAAATTTACCCGTAGCAGAGATCAAATTTTCTCCAAATAGAATATTATTTGTTTCTTGTATCTATACCGGGTGTTTTCAAAACTAAAGATATGTTTACGGCTAATGTATCAGAAATTGTTTCCTAAAATGACCATTTGCAAGCACATGAAAAACGCACCTACGCTAAATGAAACTATTTTGTAAACACACAACCACGCCGGCTTAGACTACTATCAAATTGCTAACAATAGCATAATGACATCACTATGACCTCTGTAGATACTGAGGCGATTGATATCCAAGATGAGCAACGGCTTAATAACATAGCTTTTGTTAAAGTAAGGTATGATAAAAAACGAAAACGGCATGAGAACAAACACTTTGTRTCCTTTTAGTATCTTTAGKTAYTTCCCAAACTCATTATAAACMAGGTGCCTTTCAGTTTTTAATCTATTTTCTGCGCCGTTGTGTGTTTTTGTTTTCTTGTTCTTTTGTTCTGTAAACTTAAAGGTTGATGACGCCTATTTAATGCCRCCATGAAATGTCTGAATCATGATATTTGTTAAAATATATTGGCGAGTTTATCAACTTGTTTCATGTTTCTAAACTCATCGTGTTTTTGTTGTTTTTGTTGCAGTTTTGTGGAAAAAYCCATAATGTTTGGTCAGGGTYTGGTTAATGGCTGATTTGCACATTGATATCTTTATGAAACTAGCACTGCGAGAACTCAAAGAAAATTTCTTTTTGTTCCTGCMAAGAAAAAAAGAGCTACCACTAATGGTCTTTATCTCTGTCTTCACATTTAGCGCGTTTGATCTTCCCTGCTTGAGATTATACTCTCATCAATGCCTTAGTACAAATAGCTTGCATCCTACAGAGAAAAATGCACTCCTACACGTACTTTACGGAATCTATTATCAAGAATCGGATACCAATATTGTTTTTATTAAAAGAATAGATATCGGCGAAAAATATGGCTCAGTTGTGATTGGATTCCATTAGACGAAWCTAAAAGATTCCACTCAAACTCACATGTCCATAAAGGTCAAGGCTCACGTGCCGCGCGAACGGGAGGAAGTTTTTGGTGCATCTCACACTATCAGGATGYGAAGCACTTGAAGTGCCTCGTGTTGTACATTGATGCACTAGGCGAAGTGGCATAGCTCTCTGATATTCTATCACTCATTTGTTTTGCTATCAAAAAATTGAAATCATCTCCTTAATGCATAAGCACTTCAAGTTAAGAAATAGTCAGAACGGCGCTTTTTGAAAGAGTAATTGAATCAAAACATTTATATCAAATAAAGGAGTTACTTGAGGTAAATACAATCAAATCGGAATTGATATATTTGYAATTTACTAAGTCAAGCGTCATACTTGTGTGTCTAACCCAAGTAATTGAGGAAATATCGCTTTTCGTATAATTATTATTTATGTTTTTAAAGCTACTAAAATGCTCTCTTCGGTTTTCTTAGTATCAATTTAAACAAGTATGGCAGTGAAAGCCGATATAAAACAAAAGTAAAACCGTCAATTAAAAAAAAAAACATAGCAGAACTGTTGCGAAAATAGCGTAGTTTCTGCATGTGCTTACAGAAAGATTCCCGAGCTTTACCTGAAGAAGGCAGAGTTCACGAACAACAATTAAATATAAGAGGAGTGCAGATAACCAGACAAAAAAATTAATTTGAAAGGACGAAAAGGATCGGAAGAAAGATTATCAATAAAAAACGATAAAACGTAATGAATGCATAGGTGGCCATYTTACTTGATATGAATACATCTCAAAAACGGTCCACGAAAAACACTGATACGCATCTTAAAGTGTTTTAGCCATCAAGTTTTTGCAATCTTCTACTTTTTACTTACAAATCCACGATTTTTCCTTCGTGGTTTTTATCGACTATGTGTTTATAAGATATAAATATTTAATATCAAACGAGTGAAAATTTCACCCTCAAGCAGACGCCTACAGATGGGAAAATAAAAATAGCACTTCAAATTTCATTGTACCTGAGGTAATCAGCTTATATGATACGCCAAATTCCAGTTTTGTTTGGTCTTGAGGAGAGTTTGACCACAGTGGTTTTGTATGTTACTGTTAGACTGTTTTACCCTCCTCTGCCCACGAGAAGCGATCAATATTAAAGGTCTGACCATACATGGATAATTACACCCAAAATGTCAGATTGTGGCTAAGATATTTGATTTCTACAGAATCTATGGTCAGCGTGATTGTACGGCTAAATACAGAACTGTTTCCYGGTGGTATGCAGCGCTTTAAAATACAGCAATTTMAGTCTTTTTATATTGATACCATGATTTTTGAAGTGCWAAAATAGACATGTTTGAAGTAACTTTCAGCCCCTTCTCTTCGTACGTAATATTGAGTTAAAATATTTCGCTTTCAGGCTGTCAAGTTGAAAATAGCGATKGTAAAATAGSTTTAATCAAGCGAATCTGAGTGTGTTTGGAAATCACGTTATAGTACAACTATAATGGACAATTTTTATCTATCTTGAATGAACTAAATACAGTTAAAAACCCGGAGGCAGTAGACAACGTGGACAGCAATGGCGTCTTTGTCACTTACACMGAAGTAGATACAATGTCATAGCAATACTTACAGCTAAGCAGATAAAATGTCAAACCTGACGAAAGTAGATAATTGTTTAAAGAAACGCAATGTCATTAAGTAGACCAACTGGAGTGGAATTTTCTCTTCCAATACAAGTGGTTTAAAAAATGAATATTCTATTCCCTTWTTCACAGCGGGAGAGACGAGAAAGACAATAACAAGCAGTTGTTTTAGAATCAGTATGAAGAATGTTTAATATTTTATAAACTATTTAGTAAAATATCTGATGAAAGACGTGCCARAAATAGTGTATATTAATTTGATAAACAAACAATACATGAGCAATATGTATCAAAACCTTCCAGGTAACCGCTAAGAGTTGCAAATTGAAGTTGCTTGGAATTGTTCTTCAGGTAAATTTTAGTTTTTATCGTGATTTCTGTAATACYTAGAAGTCCCTACGGCAAGGAATTATAGACACTACAATTAAGTTTCAATTGGAATCGCTCAAGATTAAGGAATCCGTAATTAGGCCTGATCATTAACAAAAACCAACACCAACTTGCACGGCGTACAATATACACTTGTACTATATCTGAATAATTGAAGATTTTTTATGAATCATGTCTTGCAAATATGATACAAAAAGACGTAAACCAAGTTATACAAAGTAAAAGTGAAAGGTGAAAGTTGCTTAAATGAATAATTCAAATGGGAAACTTCATTAACTCAAAAAGTATAAAAATCTAAGGCTATTCGACAGAAAAAATCGTTTTATGATAATTATTTAGTATACATTTTTTGGAATAATTTTTTTAAGAAATTCTGCCTAATAAACTATWTGTAGAGCATCCTTCAGTTTAGCTTATGCATGACAGCAAAAMCGGAAACACTAAAAACAACAACTACAAAAACTGACGAAGATAGAAGATATTTCAATGTGAAAGTTTCAGATCTCGTTACACTTGGTCAAGAATGTCGTTACTACCTGTTTTACGTTGCCTACAAACTGACTTGGATGCTCACCTTTCTGCCGAATTCTCATCTATATTTAACTGACCAACAATTGTTGAAACAATTTACTGACCTCAGTTTCGATTTCTTAGCACATTCAAACAACTGCTTTGATGTTATCGCTCTGTGAGTCTGTCGAGTAATGAACTTCAAATAGATCGYAATACGAATTATTCTAAGAGGATTTCACAAGATAATGACGTGATTGGCTCTTTACACAAAGCGCACATACGTTGAATATCGAAGGAAATTTAGTCATAATATAAATAATAATGTTATTTTGCAACTTAATGTGGGCAGATTTGCCTTGGAGATATACATCCCCATGGAGATATATAACGGCAAAGAAAACATCTCAAGCATTGGAGAACAAAATCTTCATCTTCGTGAAAACACATTTTGATAAAACTTTCTTATTGATGAATGTTCTGCAGCTGCTTCAAGTCCAGCCCAAACAGCAAATTTCATATGTGTAGACTTCAATCTCCAATCTTTCAGATCATATTATCAACATACATGGTTGGTTTCGACACGTGAAAACAAGACGTTTGGAACGGGCTTTATTGAGCTGTAGGCAGGCCGGACCCAACCAAAACATACCAAAGCTTTCTTATTGCTTGGCTTAGATGCCATGTCCATTTCATTGGAAGTTTTCGTGTTGAATAAATCGCTTCTCAACCGCTGAAGTTTAAAAAAAGCCTTTCTTAAAATTAATCCATGTTTTACTAGATATGGTGGGCAGTCTTTGTTTCCGYATTCTCAACCACAAACTCCGATATAAGATCGTCTAAATGACGAGGAAACTTTTAGGACGATATTATAGCTACCGCATAAACAAAAACTACAAGAAACTCTTGCCATCACGCAAACCGATAACCATGATAAATGAGAGGTAATCGATTTAAGACGTCGCTCAGGCTTGACAACTCTCCATTCATAAAATGGTCAATTTGGATTGATGAATGCCACTGACTACGTGCTCACAATACCAAAACTGACATTGTTGATAACGCGACAATTGAA